GCTGAATTCCTGCTTTGCAGACTGAGCAATGGCAGCCCAAGTACTTGTAATTGGCAATGGAGGAAGGGAACATACTCTGGCCTGGAAACTTGCACAGTCTAATCATGTCAAACAAGTGTTAGTTACCCCAGGAAATGCAGGCACTGCCTGCTCTGAAAAGATTTCGAACACTGGTAATCATTTTTTTGAAGTAAAAGTGAACGATTGTAAATGATAAAACTGTCACCCACATCTCTTCTTTATAAAGGTCAATTGCTGTTCAGATTTGAATGCTTTTTTTAACCCAGAAATTTATGTGGTAATTTGAATACTTGCCATATGTTGTAATTTAAGGTATACTGTTGTTCAGAGTGTATCATTTTCTTACCTTAAATTATTTTAAACCTTATAAAACACTTCCACTGAAAAAGTTACAAAATGCCTAATATAGGTTAAAGGTGTTTTGGTGTGTATTTTGGGGAATGCAAAATTGAGCAGTGCTATTAAATGTAAGTTCTGGCAATTCTTACTCCATAATAGATCTCAGCCTTCATCTCTTCCACTGGTAAATGGGAAAAGATGATCAGTTCTTATGCTGCATTAAATTCTTCAGTGACTTCTCATAGTAGTCAGCATAAAACTCAAACTCCTGTCCTTACAAAACCCTCTGTGATCTGGCCTCTGCCTGCCTTTCCAGCCTGATCTTTTATAGCCCTTGTTTTCTTTTCACTGTGCTCTATCCATGCAGTCCTGCCAGTATCCCAAACAGAGCTGCCTTGGACTTTGTTCTCACTCCTAGCATGACTGGCTCTTCATCGTTCAGGTCTCGACTTATGTTACCTTCTCAAAGAGGACTTTCCTAAAGTTTCTAAGTAAAGCATGTTCACCCCCCAATTCATTTGTTTTCAATCATGAACTATTATCTGTATCTTCTTTTACTTTTGTCTGTCTCCTATCTTCATTTCCCTCCTAGAACATAAGCTCTAGAATGTAAACTGCATGAGGGCAAGGAAGTTACATGTCTTTTTTTTAAAATATATTTATTTATTTATTTCTGGCTGCGATGGGTCTTTGTTGCTGCGCGTGGGCTTTCTCTAGTTGTGGCGAGCGGGGTCTACACTTCGTTGCAGTGAACGGCCTTCTCATTGCGGTGACTTCTCTTGTTGCAGAGCGCAGGCTCTAGATGCGCGGGCTTCAGTAGTTGTGGCTCACGGGCTCTAGAGCACAGGCTCAGCAGTTGTGGCGCACGGGCTTCGTTGCTCCGCGGCATGTGGGATCTTCTAGGACCAGGGCTCGAACCAGTGTCCCCTGCATTGGCAGGCAGATTCTTAACCACTGCATCACCGGGGAAATCCCGTGTCTCCTGTCTTATTTTGCACTATGTGCACTGTGCCTAGTATGCTACGTGGCACATAATATTTATGGAGAGAACATAGACCCAGCAAGCTACCAACTGGGAGAAGATAATTGTGTACATAGGAGCAAAAATAATAAGAAAAAAAATAAATAAGAAAATATCTGCTTCCCTGGGATCTTAACTCTGGGAGTGAGTATTGTATTTTTTTTTTTTAAAGAAATGGCACATTTTATCTAGATGCAATTGATGTTATACAGACTAGCCCATGAAAATCTCCCAATATTGTCATGAGGCTGCTATCACTTGTAGTGACAGGTTATCTTCCTCTTGTCATCTTCCTCTTGCCACCCTTTGCTGTGCTGAGGTAGTTGGCTCTGTTCAGCCCAGTTGTGTTTGCAGCTACTAACCCAGAGTGCATGGTACTCCATCCTTATCCCACTCAGGCAGTTCCTGTAGATTGAGAACTCTACCTTTTCTGCACTTATCCCCTACACATCACAAATACCACATATGTACAAGAGACTTCAGCCAGCTTAAGAATGGTGGCCCAAATAACAGTGAAGCAGAAGAGCGCCTATAGAACCTACTCATGATTAATATATGGTTGATCCTACTACTACTTAGAACTCCCATCAAGAAAGAAAATTTACCTGGCTTGTACATTGGAGAAGTGAGCTAGGTCTTAAAAGTCATCCTTCAGTTGTTAGCTTAAACGTCTTTGCACAGAGACCCTTTCTGGCTTAATCAGAAATAGCCTCCCAGTTTACCTCATGAGATTTGCCTAATTGTTCACACTCTGTATTATTTTGCTTGGATATTTATAACTCAACATTCCCACAGTGAAATATAAGCATCTTAAATATAGGGACCCTGTTTGTGTTTACATCTTAACCTGGTGACTAGGACAGTATCTAGCATATAGCAGTTCTCAGTAAATCTTGAATGAATGACATTTAAAAGACCAGTTTCTGAGTATATTCTCTGATACACTTTTTTGTTTATAATCAACGCTAGCAACATGAACACCATAGTCAAGAAAGTATAGCTCTTAGAAAACTTACTCAGTTCTCTGCTATCACTGAGGTGATAACAAAGCAGAGAACTGAGCTTTGTTGGTTAGCCTGATGTACTGTGCTCTGAATTTCTCATGGTGAAACTCATCTGTACCAGTAAAAGAAAACCAACAATTAATAGGCTTACCAAAGTATAGTACTTACATTTCAGAAAGACAGTTAACTTAAAGAATGTTTTTTAAACAAGGTGGGTTTGTTTCTTTTTTCTTTTCACAGACATCTCAATCAGTGATCACACTGCCCTTGCACAGTTCTGCAAAGATGAGAAAATTGAATTTGTAGTTGTTGGACCAGAGGCACCTCTGGCTGCTGGTAAAGTTCATTTCTCTATTTTATGGTATACACCGTGCTAACAGGAGCTTGGAGATCATCTCATCTAATACATTTTACAGATGAGGATTTCTAATATAATACACTTGAAAAAGCTTTCACCCTCTTGAAATTTATGGATTCTAGGATTTCCCCCCTCCCCAAGCATCAGTAATATGAATAGTAAGACTAAATTTGAATGAGAGATCAAATTTGCAGCTGTGGGAAGTATTTTGTTTTTATTCTGCTCTATTCTGGTGTCTAATAATCCATATATTTGAATATCACACATGATTTTTGTTGGATTTGAATCATGTGTCAGTAGCATTTTGTTTATATCCTATAGAAAACATGAAAAATGTAGTTATTCTCTGCCAGTTGCCTCATCTCAATGTATATTTAGCCTGATCCTAATTCTTCAGAATGAAAAGGCCCTGAAGAGAGCTGGGCTATGGCTGCTTGTTTTCATCCCTAGGAATTGTTGGGAGCCTGACATCTGCAGGAGTGCGGTGCTTTGGCCCTACAGCAGAAGCAGCTCAGTTAGAGTCCAGCAAGAGATTTGCCAAAGAGTTTATGGACCGACATGGAATCCCAACTGCACAGTGGAGAGCTTTCACCAAAGCTGAAGAAGCCTGCTGCTTCATTATGAGGTAAATAGAAGATAGCCTGTGAAGGGCACTTGTTATATGATATTTGAATATACGGGTCACTTTTATGTTACGAGTTTATAGTAAGATAATTCTAGGGGAAAACTCATAGGATGTAGATTGCCTTTTTCCAACATCAAAATAAAATGGGATCTACTCTTGCAGCCTTGCAGAAAGATAAATTTTTTTTTTAAGATAAATTTTTTAATGTTTGTTGCTGAATAGTTTCTAGGGGAAAAGGATACATTTGGTTGTATAGGCGTTCCCTCTTAGCCAGACTGACACAGTGGCATCTTACCACATAAAGGATAGTCATTTTTTTCATCAGTAATTAACTAGAGTGAGGAATCATCACTTGGCCTTCTGCCACCACTGTTCAATCCTAAATCTTAAAATTAAACATCCTGTTCTCTATTATATGGAGAACATTGAGCAATAAATGAATGTTGGTAGATACATGCCTTTGCCCCCTATTTTTGTTGACACTTTTCCTTTTTACCTGGTATGTTTTCTTTTTAGTTGGGTCAGTTTCATTCTTTGTTTTTTTTCTTCATCCTACATTGAATTTTATTATTTCCTAGTAGCCAGATACCTTCCAAGTAACAATTTTGTTACTTTGGGTAAGTCTCCTTCTAGATCTCCAGTTCTACTCAACAGAAGAAACTACCAACAACAGTTTCTTATGTGTACTTGGAGAAATGATCTGTGTATCCATGCTTATATTGGTCTTATACAGCTACATCTTACTTGAAGGAGAGCATGATTCATTACTTTGTACTGTATCTTAAAAGGTCATTCCATATTCATGCTATGCAACTGCTGTTTTCCCCCAAAGATTTTGCTTATATGATCTCATGATAAGCGAGAAAAGCAAAACTGTATGTACCATATGACCACAACTATAAAGGAATACATAGGAAAAAAAAATCCTGGCAGGAAGTACATCAAAATGGTGTTAGCAGTTTTTTTTTTTCTGCTTTTCAGTTGTTGCTATAGCACATTATTACACGATCCCAAAGCATTTTAAACTTTTGAATCTTAAAGATTTATTGGATATTGAAATTTACTGTCTTCACAGTGCAGACTTCCCCGCTTTGGTTGTGAAGGCCAGTGGTCTTGCAGCTGGGAAAGGGGTAGTTGTCGCAAAGAGCAAAGAAGAGGCCTGCAAAGCTGTTCAGGAGATTATGCAGGTAAGTTGATCCTTCTTAAAAAGTTTATAATTTTCTGGTCACACTGGATAAATAAATACCATTAAGCTTACAAATATTCCTCAAGGCAAGGAAAACGTATAGCAAACAGTTATTTTTCATAGTACTATGTATTATAATCCATCCCTATAAAAGGGTTATTACACATCTACACTGATGGCTAAACTATGATTCTGTTCTTTGCAAGTAAGTTCTGTTTAGCATCCTTTGTTGTCTGCTCTGAAAGGTAGAAAGTCCTCAGACTACAGAACATATAAATAAATACTCAACAATCCATGAGGACAAATAAGGTATTTATCCTTTGTGTCTCAGGTCTAAGAAAAGTGAAGCAATGAATTAATATACTTTGCGTTTTATGATCCTTCTTGGTTGTTGTGGGTTTCTCCCCCTTGTGGAAATCTGTTTTCACAGACATTAGTATAACTATTGTAAGCAAACATAATTATAAGTCAGAAATAAGAGTTAAATGGTAATGATGAAAACATGTTTTTCTGTTAACCTTATTTGAAACTGGAAAACTGGATCCCCAAAAGAGTTTTAATGATGTGTTCATCTCATCTGTACCAGTGCTAACTCTACATCATTGCAACTCTGAAAATAGGAAACATTCGGTCTTCCCTTGTGAACAGTGGTTATGAATCCGACTGCCAGTGCAGAGGACACGGGTTCGAGCCCTGGTCCGGGAAGATCTCACATGCCGCGGAGCAACTAAGCCCGTGCACCACAACTACCGAGCCTGCGCTCTAGAGCCCGCGAGCCACAACTACTGAAGCCCGCGCACCACAATAAACAGTAGCCCCCACTCGGGGCAACCAGAGAAAAGCCTGTGCGCACCAATGAAGACCCAATGCAGCCACAAATAAATAAATAAAATAAAAATAGGAAACGTTCATATATGTTCCTTTGCAGCTTTCAGAAAGAGAAAGAGAAATTATAATACTAGTGCGTTGGTTCATAATACAAATGTTGCAAAATGACAACAGCCAATTAAGTAAATAATAAAAGCTTATAATTTATTTCTCTTTTTGTTTTTATCGACAATAAGGATAAAGCTTTTGGAGAAGCTGGAGAAACAACTGTCATTGAAGAACTTCTTGAAGGTGAAGAGGTGTCTGTATGTATATTCATCTTTTGGACTTTTACAGAGTATAAACTGTGTCATCTGACCTGTGATCCCAAAAAAGGCTTGGTTTACTCTGGTCGCTTCATCCAAGAGCATAAACTGAGCAGTTACACAGGAATTTGTATACGTTTAGTATTTCAGATACAATTGAAAACAGAATTTATTTTCTTTTTTTTAAATATATAAACTTATTTATTTTTGGCTGCGTTGGGTTTGTTGCTGCGTGGGCTTTTTCTAGTTGCTGAGAGCAGGGGCTACTCTTTGTTGCAGTGCGCGGGCTTCTCATTGTGGTGGCTTCTCTTGTTGCAGAGCACGGGCTGTAGGTGTGCGGGCTTCGGTAGTTGTGGCACACGGCCTCAGTGATTGTGGCTCGCAGGCTCTAGAGCACAGGCTCAGTAGTTGTGGCACACGGGCTTAGTTTTCTCCGCAGCATGTGGGATCTTCCCAGAAGAGGGCTCGAACCCGTGTCCCCGCATTGGCAGACAGATTCTTAACCACTGCACCGCCAGGGAAGTCCGAAGAATTTATCTTCTTTTAATCATCCCCAGTGTAGCAGTAGGCAAATTGGATTTATATCACCCATTATTTAAACAGGGGAAAGGTTGAAATTTTTTACTTTGAGAGTAGCTTGATTTCCCCCCCTCCGCAACCTAGCTCAAAAATTATAGATCCTTCAGAACAGAGTATATAGGATCTTTTGATTCTCGATCTAGGAAACAGGATTATTTATGTTTTAAATCATTTTACTTTAAAAAAGAAAACTTTTCCTCTAATTAGAGTTAAGGTACATATAGTTCTCATTATTTTTTTACTTTCTGGCATTTAAGGTTAAGTGGACCATTTGTTTTCTCTACAGTGTCTGTGCTTCACTGATGGAAAGACTGTGGCCCCCATGCCCCCAGCACAGGACCATAAGCGATTGCTGGAGGGAGATCAGGGCCCCAACACAGGGGGAATGGGAGCCTATTGTCCAGCACCTCAGGTACTTCACAGGCTCAGCTGAAGTTCAGTAGTCATTTTTTGGTCTTCTCAAAGAGCTCTTAGACACTTTCTGGTTTTTTTTTCTGTAAATGACATTACTAATAAGCAAATTGGTTTTCCTGTTAAATGAAAAGTGTCTCTTCTGGTCTCACTCTAAAACTAACCTTTTCTAAAAGCCTTTGAGGAACTAACTTAAGTATCAATTGAACAGATCCTTCTAGCCCCTCCTTATTCATCTTTGGATATCCAGGGCCCTATATACAAGTGCTCAGTAAGAGTGGGTATGGTGAATTGAGAACCAAGTCAGACTACCATTTGTTCTTCTAGTCTTTCTACTTCATAACGGATAGAGCATGTTTCCAAACAATTCCTTGACAATGTTTATGAAAAATATGCATTGAGCATAATTATAAATAGATTAGCACTTCAGAAACTCACCCATTTCCTTTCACTGCTGATAGTTATAATTGTTTGTGCTAATAATATAGTGCCTTTTAGATATTTTTCTTAAATAAAAGATTAAAAACCAAACAGGGTTTACTTTAGACTTTGTGTATTAAAACTACCATTTGGTAAAAGTGATTTTATTTATATATATTTTTTACTTAAAAAAATTGTTTATTTATCTTGGCTGCACTGGGTCTCAGTTGCAGCATGTGGACTCTTAGTTGCAGCATGCATGTGCAATAATTTCTACAATTAATTTATAAACTCTAGATTCTCAATTTATAGGCTAATGAGGTATGCATAGAATATACTATAAGTATACAAAGGAGCCTCAGTGTGGGTGAGGACTTTTTCAGTTAAATACCAGTTACATTTAAATAAGTCTCTGTTCCCCAGGTTTCTAAGGATTTGTTGCTAAAAATTAAAAATACTATTCTTCAGAGGACAGTGGATGGCATGCAGCAGGAGGGTGTGCCATACACAGGTAAGCATATCGATGTCATTGTGGACATTATTTATAAAGTAAGTTTGCACCATTTTCTTTTTTTATAAATTTATTTATTATTATTTTTGGCCGCATTGGGTCTTTGTTGCTGCACACGGCTTTCTCTAGTTGCTGCAAGCAGGGGCTACTCTTTGTTGCGGTGCATGGGCTTCTCATTGCAGTGGCTTCTCTTGTTGTGCAGCTCGGGCTCTAGGTGCCCAGGCTTCTGTAGTTGTGGCACACAGGCTCAGTAGTTGTGGCTCATGGGCTCTAGAGCACAGGCTCAGTAGATGTGGTGCATGGGCTTAGTTGCTCCGTGGCCTGTGGGATCTTCCCAGCAGGGCTCGAACCCGTGTCCCCTGCATTGGCAGGTGGATTCTTAACCACAGTGCCACCAGGGAAGCCCACCATTTTCTTTTTTTAATTGACCACTGTTATAACATTTGTTACGGCCATTCCAAAACTTTCAGTACTATAAGTTTATATTCTGATTTTCATAGTCACAATACAGTGTCTTCATTATAGATTTTTTTTTTTTCCCATTTTTTAACGAAGGTATCCTCTATGCTGGTATAATGCTGACCAAGAATGGCCCAAAAGTTCTGGAGTTTAATTGCCGTTTTGGTGATCCAGAGTGCCAAGTGAGTAATAAAGATAATAATATAAAGTGTTACTTTGTAGAATATGTGTGCTGTTTTAATCTTAGGATTTATCAGCCTTGAAATAATTACCTTTGAGAAACATATCCAAGTTCTGGTATCCCAGTGAATAAAATGTCTAAGGGCAACCGAAATTTCTCTCAGTTGCCGTGTTGATTATGTTTTTCCAGGTGATCCTCCCACTTCTTAAAAGTGACCTTTATGAAGTGATTCAGTCTACCTTAGATGGCCTGCTCTGCACATCTCTGCCTGTTTGGCTTGACAACCGCACTGCCGTAACTGTGGTCATGGCAAGTAAAGGTTATCCAGGAGACTACACCAAGGGTGTAGAGATAACAGGTGAATATCAGAGAACAAAAGGTTAGATTGCAATGTGACAAGTGACCAGTACCATAGTAGGCCTTTTTCCCATTCAATGTTGTGTTCCTTTTAAGGGTTTAGAGACATCAGTAACCTTTCAGGGGTTTCTAACATAAGCATGTTGCTTGTTGGATATGGGTGTCCAGATATCCATAATTACTGTATTTAAAGAACTGCCGTCTGTTTCTCTTCCTGCACAGTGAAAACTTAAGTGGGCCTAGCTAAGCTTCCAGAGAATCACCCAGTGCTGCCTTTCTCATCCATCCTCCAAGAGCCAGGAAGATAACAGGAATGTATGAGAGTTGGAGGAACTTTAATGTAAATTACATCAAGGAGAAAATTTCAGGGCTTGATCTCTGAATGATCACAGATTAACCCCCCAGTTTGCAGTGCACCCCATGGTCACTTAGATGGCAGAATTAAAAGTTTCAGAAGTATAGCCTTCTCTTCTGTTTCTCCTTATAGGAGGTGAGGCATCTAGTTAACTGATGTTAGATAAAGCAGTGTTTTAAAATGCTAAATAAGTTCCAGCACGATAAGGCCAACACCAGACCTTTAAAATCCCTAGCAGGCTGTCATTTGGCCTCCCTTAATACCCCAATACTGTGTTTGATTCAAACACCCTATTTACTGTCTTACCCAGACAGTAAGTCCATTGCCCTGTGCATCCCACACATGGCAGCTGGGCAGTTAGGAGCTGACTGCCTTTTAAAATGAAGAAAGGGAAGGGATAGAATCAAGATATTTTGTATTGCTGAAATTTCCCTAAGATTGGGGTGACAAGTGTCATAGTTATTTCTGACACCCCAATATTGGGTGTTACTGATACCACCACATACTTGAGTACCAGTGACTAAACGCCTCTATGTTATAAAAACACCTGGAGGGACCTCCCTGGTGGTCCAGTGGGTAAGACTGCACTCCCAATACAGGGGGCCAAGGTTCGATCCCTGGTCAGGGAACTAGATCCCGCACACGTGCTGCAACTAAGAGCCTGCATGCCACAACTAAGACCCAGAGCAGCCAAAATAAATAAATGATATATAAATATTTTGAAAAAATAAAAACACCTAGAGAAGACACGATATTATAAATCAACTACAATGAAAAAATGTTTTAAAGAAAATGTGATACAGCAAAAAAAAAAACCACCTAAGGAAGATGTGTATTAACAGATTACCAAATATGGTGCTAAAAGAGAAATGGAAAAGGACAAACTAGGGATATGAAAGTTTTTTGGGGGGGACTTCCTTGCTGGCACAGTGGATAAGAATCCGCCTGCCAGTGCAGGGGACGTGTTCAAGCCCTGGTCTGGGAAGATCCCACATGCCACGGAGCAACTAAGCCTGTGCACCACAACTGTTGAGCCTGTGCTCTAGAGCCCATGAGCTTAGAGCCCGTGCTCCACAACAAGAGAAACCACCTCAATGAGAAGCCCGCTCACCGCAATAAAGTGTAGCCCCTGCTCACCACAGCTAGAGGAAGCCCGCACACAGCAGCAAAGACCCAACTCAGCCAAAAATAAATAAATTAATAAGGAAAAAATTTTTTTCTTTTTAATTAAGAGGTTGTCTCTGTATAAACTGTCCATGGTGGTCATTTCAGAATTTAGAAAACACAGTCTAACACTATTTTAAATGTAAAATATATATGTGAGATCTTAAAACTAATTCAAAAGAAAATGAAGCAGGGGACTTCCCTGGTGACACAGTAGTTAAGAATCCGCCTGCCAGTGCAGGGGACACGGATTTGATCCCTGGTCCATGAAGATCCCACTTGCCGCGGAGCAACTAAGCCTGTGCCCCACAACTACTGAGCGTGTGCTCTAGAGCCCGCAAGCCACAACTACTGAAGCCTGCACACCCTAGAGCCCACACATCGCAACTACTGAGCCCACTCGCTGCAACTAGAGAAAGCCCGCACACAGCAATGAAGACCCAATGCAGCCAAAAGAAAAAATGAAGCCAGGGATTTTCTTTTAGGCTGAGCCCTAAACGTAATTTAAATCATATTTGTCTTAAAATTTTATGATTGTTATATTAGGCAAAAGATTAAGAATGTTTTGCATTGCAATGATCTCGTTTTTTTAAAAAAAGAAAGCAACTTTATTTAGTTGGCTATGATAAAGCAAAAAGATATTCTTTTACTCTTCAGTAAAAAATGTGATCAAATGCAGGATTTAGGGCTTCCCTGGTGGCGCAGTGGCTGAGAGTCCGCCTGCCGATGCAGGGGACATGGGTTCGTGCCCCGGTCCGGGAAGATCCCACATGCCACGGAGCGGCTGGGCCCGTGAGCCATGGCCACTGAGCCTGCGTGTCCGGAGCCTGTGCTCCACAGCGGGAGAGGCCCCAACAGTGAGAGGCCCACATACCGCAAAAACAAAAAAAATTGCAGGATTTATTCATGATGTTTAGGTTTTGTTAATTTTTTTTTTAACTTTTCAGGAGAAAATAACTTTATGCTTCTAATTTCAAACTTTTCAGGGCTTAGCTTCTTTTTTTTTCCTTATTGAAATAATCATTCTTACATGAGATTTATGATAACACAAGGTTTTAGTAATATAGTTATCACCCTAGAGCAGAACAGACTGTTCTTAGGAGAAAGGCTGTATTTACTATTATATTACATTAATTCCTTTCTGATAGGATTCTTGTGAAGATTCATTTAAGTGAAATAAAGATTTTATTTAAAAAAAAAAACTTCTGGAAATTATAAGCCACAGTATAGAACATTATTACTGCAATTGATATGTCAAATATGCTCTCTTACAGGGTTTCCTGAGGCTCAAGCTTTAGGACTAGAGGTGTTCCAAGCAGGCACTGCCCTAAAAGATGGCAAAGTGGTGACTAACGGGGGTAGGGTCCTTACAGTAACAGCCATCCGGGAAAATCTCATCTCAGCCCTTGAAGGAGCCAAGAAAGGACTAGCTGCTATAAAGTTTGAGGGAGCCATTTATAGGAAGGACATTGGCTATCGTGCCATAGCTTTCCTCCAGCAGCCCAGGTAAACTTCTGACCAAGGTGATTATAGCACAGCTTCAGAACTGGTATAAATGGTGATGTAGAAAACTCCATTGACCCTGTACTAAGTCATTCTGTATTCTTAACTCTATGAGACTGATCTGATTTTTTTATATATATATAAATTATTTATTTTAATTTTGGCTGTATTGGGTCTTGTTGCTGGTGTGGGCTTTCTCTAGTTGTGAGCGGGGGCTACTCTTTGTTGTGGTGTTCGGGCTTCTCATTGCAGTGGCTTCTCTTGCTGCGGAGCACAGGCTGTAGGTGCGCAGGCTTCAGCAGTTGTGGCTCGCGGGTTCTAGAGTGCAGGCTCAGTAGTTGTGGCTTACAGGCTTAGGTGCTCCGTGGCATGTGGTATCTTCCCAGACCAGGGCTCGAACCCGTGTCCCCTGCATCAGCAGGCGGATTCTTAACCACTGTGCCACCAGGGAAGCCCGACTGATCTGATTTTGATTTGCATTTAGTTTGAATTGAAACTACTAGTTACAGCAATATTCAAATGAAATGGAAAAAGCTTCATGGTAGCTCATGTTTGAAAAGCTGAATAAGATCAGTGCTGTTGAAAGATTTTTTCACATTGTACGATTTAGGTATATGCAATCAGTTGTCAATTATTCATCAATAAAGAAGGGGGAAGGGATTTTTTTTCCTTGAGTTATCATATATTTATATATTACTGTTGTATTTATTATTTTTTTAATAAATTTATTATTTATTTTTGGCTGCATTGAGTCTTCATTGCTGCACGTGGGCTTTCTCTAGTTGTGGCGAGTAGGGGCTGTTCTTTGTTGTGGTGCGCAGGCTTCTTGTTACAGATAACGGGCTCTAGGTGCACAGGCTTCGGTAGTTGTGGCACATGGGCTCAGCAGTTGTGGCTCTCAGACTCTAGAGCACAGGTTCAGTAGCTGTGGCGCACGGGCTTAGTTGCTCCGCGCATGTGGGATCTTCCTGGACCAGGGCGCGAAGCTGTGTCCCTGCATTGGCAGGCAGATTCTTAACCACTGTTCTACCAGGGAAATCCCTGTTGTATTTATCTTAGTTCATGATTTTGTCAAAGAATTCAGGATGAAAATATTGGTCGTCTAACTTTGCAACTTTATTTGATGGTACTATAAATTTTGGCCATCTCATTTGGTCACTGCATTTATATTTATTACTGAAATGTATTTTGTAACCCTTTATTGATTCATTTATTATCATATACAACTAACTATTCCTTTGTAAAATCAATGAACTATTAACTGCAAATGTGGGTATTTTGATCTCATCACAATTACTATTGCTCATTGAGTTCATCTATGAGAAATAAATGTGTTTTAGGACAAAATGAGAAATTTTTAGCAACTTAATTCAAGTTACACTGTTACTGATAGGCAAATTTTTTAAGGTTAAATAATGGAATTTTTTTTTTTCGGCGGTACGCGGGCCTCTCACTGTTGTGGCCTCTCCCGTTGCGGACCACAGGCTCCAGATGCGCAGGCTCAGCGGCCATGGCTCACGGGCCCAGCCGCTCTGCAGCATGTGGGATCTTCCCGGACCGCGGCGTGAACCTGTGTCCCCTGCATCAGCAGGTGGACTCTAAACCACTGCGCCACCAGGGAAGCCCTGGAATTTTTTTTTTAACATTAAAATACCATGCTAAAATTTTATTTTTTATTTTAAAATGACTAGATTCTATTGAAAATGACCTATTTCAAGTGACTTGAAATCTTAATACTCGTCTGATTCTTCAAAGATGAAGAAGATGAGAGGCTACAGTGCCAATTGCTATCTGACAAAAGAGTTGTTTTTAACCAGTAGAACTTCGTTTCCTATATAAGCGTGACCCCAGACTGCTAACTTTATTGGAGTTAACTGCCACATTTCTCTCAAGTCTGTACCCTGGCACCTTGCTTCTAATAAAACTTGACATATTTCTTCATGTATCCCTGAATCCCACTAATCCAGAGTTGTCATTTTTGTAAGGCAAGACTAATGAAGTCACATTGCCATTTATAAACTTGATCTCTAAATGTACCGTTCCAACTTGTTGGCACTATTATAGATGGAAAGGATGCATTGAATATCATTACCTGGTTTTGCTTTATTTAGAGTTTTTTAAATCTTATTTCTTACTATCTTTAGTTATAAGGAAACATACAGTTCTCTATTATTGCAGTAAGGGCTCAGTTTCATTATTGAGGGATTTCTTTGTGGAGTCCTTATAATCCTAATTTTCACTTTTTTGACTCTGTTTTGGCACTCCTTTCCTTCCCATACCAAAATTTAACAGAGAAATATTACGGCCAAATATTGGTATATTTAACTGCCTGTGACAAGTACTTCTGGAAGAAATAGTTAAGTTAGAGAAGTAGTTACAAATAGTGAAGTTCAACTGAGGAGGTTGTTTAAACACATTTCAATTCCTCGGACCTGCCCTAGACCAGCTAAATCAAAATCTCTGGATATGGCCCAGCGTATTGGGGGATATGAAAATCACTAGTGATATCTTCTGCTTTAAATAATATTTTAAGGTTAAAATAATTCTTCCCTGGCATTTAGGTGATGTCTTTGTTTTATTAAACTCTTTAGGGGCCTGACTTACAAGGACTCTGGGGTAGACATTGCAGCTGGAAATATGCTGGTCAAGAAAATTAAGCCTTTAGCAAAAGCCACCTCCAGACCAGGTAAGTCAGGGTCTGTCCTTTGCTAGTTCACTAACTGTGACAAACATTGTGTATTGATTTGTGCTTTGTAGTTTACTGAGGAAAATGTTCCAGATTAATGCCAAGTTGCTATAAGTCTTGCCCTATTTAAGCCAAACTCATAGTGTTCTGCTTTCTTATCTCTAACATTAAAAGCATTTCTTATCCATGATCTTAAACTCAAAAGGATATGTATACCCCTTTAATATCTGAATATATTTCAGAATATATTTCTTGATCAACTCTTTGCTGTTGAAATGCAGCAAGTAATTAATTTTCTCTCCAACAGGCTGTGATGTTGATCTCGGAGGTTTTGCTGGTCTTTTTGATTTGAAAGCAGCCGGTTTCAACGATCCTCTTCTGGCCTGTGGAACAGACGGCGTTGGAACTAAACTGAAGGTAATCAGACACCTATGTGAGTAAAGGCCTTTTATGAAAGATATGAAAGAATTTACTGTGTATCAAATACATATCTTTCGGGACTTGCCTGGTGGCGCAATGGTTAAGAATCCGCCTGCCAATGCAGGGGACAAGGGTTCAAGCCCTGGTCCGAGAAGATTCCACATGCCGCAGAGCAGCTAAGCCTGCAAGCCACAGCTACTGAGCCTGCGCTCTAGAGCATGCAAGCCACAACTACTGAAGCCCGCACGCCTAGAGCCCGTGCTCCGCAACAAGAGAAGCCACCACAATGAGAAGCCCGCGCAGCGCGACAAAGAGTAGCCCCCGCTCGCCACAACAGCCCACGTGCAGCAACAAAGACCCAATGCAGCCATAAATAAATAAACAAATAAAATACATATCTTTCCCCTCTTGACATATATGCACTAAAGAGAACCACACCAAGTAATCGTACAGTTGGCTACAATAGCTATGTGTTTCTAATAACACAGTGTTGGTGACGCTATATCCGGATAGAAGGGTTATCTTAGGGGAAAAAAGGGAATACTTTCAGACCAAGTAGCTTATCGGAATTTAGTGTTCTTTTGTCTTTAGGTGTTCAGAGCACCTAGCCAAAAGTCAGTAATATTGTTAGCCTCCACTGATAATTGACAAGATATAGTTTGGAGCTTATTCTCTTACGTGGATGTTTATATTCTTCTGTAGATTGCCCAGCAGTGCCATAAACATGAAACCATTGGTCAAGATTTGGTTGCAATGTGTGTAAATGATATTCTGGCACAAGGAGCGGAGCCCCTCTTTTTCCTCGATTACTTTTCCTGTGGAAAACTTGACCCCAGTACAACTGAAGCTGTTGTTGCTGGAATCGCTAAAGCTTGTAAAAAAGCCGGATGTGCTCTCCTCGGTATGATCATCCATTGTAATCACACATCCTTATGTATTTCAGCCCTATGTACAAACATGATCAGTTACCAGTATACCTAACGAGACAAACTATGTGTCACAAGACGAGGCAAGTAAAATATAGATGATACCACCTAAGGACAACTTAGACCTTTGTGCCCTCGAACCCTCCTCTCAAGGCTTGGTCCCCAGACTGAGCCTTATACTCCTCCACCATCACCCGCGCCTTATCTTCTCCCTGATCCTTAGCCACCATTTCACTCCCATCTCTCTCAGTGGCCTCCTGGACAGACAGGGTAGGGGGCTGTTTCCTCCTTATGGCTCTGCAGCAGAGGCAGATCGGGTCTTGGCTTTCTGAGTCTTAAGCCTTATTTTCCCACAGAAATGACACTAAGAATAAAATATACCCAAGGTTTACAGAAATATTAAATACATACATGAGAATTTTGAACAAAATTAATTTGTAGGGCTTCCCTGGTGGCGCAGTGGTTGAGAGTCCGCCTGCCGATGCAGGGGACACAGGTTCGTGCCCCAATCCGGGAAGATCCCACGTGCCGCAGAGCGGCTGGGCCCATGAGCCATGGCCGCTGAGCCTGTGCGTCCGGAGCCTGTGCTTCGCAACGGGAGAGGCCACAGCAGTGAGACGCCTGCGTAGCGCAAAAAAAAAAAAAAATTAATTTGTAGGTTGACCAAGGAACAAAACTACCTATTTTATATTACCATTTCTGTGGACAAGTATGTCCCAAAAGCCAAAATTGCCTTTCAACCATCTTTTAGAACAGTTCCTAATTTGGATCTGCCTGCCTAGACCCTGTCTTTACACAATATGGTGGTAATATGAACTATGACATATTTTTTAGGCCAGGGCATTTAGAGCTAGGCAGTTCTGATTAAATCACTTCTCTAAGCCTGTACCATTATTGGAACATAGAGTGATTGTAAAGATCAAATATAGGTGAAAGCATTTCTGAAACTAACTGCTAGAGAAATGGTGTTATATTCAACTGAGTATTCCAGTACATATAATGATGTTTGGAGGCTATACTCACCCTTTGTGGAAATTAGTGCTATTTCCCCTGAAATCATGCTTAGATGTTTGCGGAATACAGCTTTTGTTTAATTGTTCATATGAAGAGTAGCTGGTGTCACTACTTCCTAGACAGGTTTATAAGTGTTCGGTGATTTCTTTGCTCTTGTTTTCTCTTTCTGCCAGGAGGTGAAACGGCAGAAATGCCTGACATGTACCCTCCTGGAGAATATGATCTAGCCGGTTTTGCCGTTGGTGCAATGGAACGGGATCAGAAACTCCCTCACCTGGAAAGAATCACTGAAGGGGACGCTGTTATTGGAATAGCTTCATCTGGTCTTCACAGCAATGGATTTAGCCTTGTGAGGAAAATTGTAGCAAAATCTTCCCTTCAGTACTCCTCTCCAGCACCTGATGGCTGTGGTGGCCAGGCCTTAGGTAAACATACTCACATTTAAACTCTCCTGCTTGGGAATGTCTGAGCAACCACTTACTTGGGTTAGGCTTTCGTTACTTAAAGTTAGAATGGAACAAACTGCATATGTTCTGGTTTTATATTCATAGACTAAGTTTTTGTCTCATCTTCCTAATATACAGGTGATTTACTTCTAACTCCGACCAGAATCTACAGCCATTCACTGTTACCTGTCCTGCGTTCAGGACATGTTAAGGCCTTTGCACATATTACCGGTGGGGGATTGCTAGAAAACATCCCCAGAGTCCTACCTCAGAAATTTGGGGTAGATTTAGGTAAGATTGCTAAAAAGAACGTTTGCTCAGAAAAGTGTTATGAGAAAAAATACATTGTGGAAGGAAACTTTATGGGTAGTTAGTACACATATGATTATGTGGAAAATTCTTTTTTTTAATATTATATTTATTTATTTGGCCGTGCCAGGTCTTAGTTGCGGCATGCGGGATCTTTTTAGTTGTGGCATGTGGAATCTTTAGTTTTGGCATTCGAACTCTTAGTTGTGGCACGTGGGATCTAGTTCACTGACAAGGGATCAAACCCGGGCCCCCTGCATTGGGAGTGCAGAGTCTTAGCCACTGGACCACCAGGGAAGTCCCTACCTGGAAAATTCTTAAATCATTGGGGCTTCTTGGGGAAAAAATAGGACAGACCCTTTTCCACCTTTTCTTGCTTCATTAGCCATGTTTATAAGGCATAAAGTCCTCGTGTAATTGACTTAGATGAAATTCTTTAAGCAGATTCTCCAAGGGGGTCAGTAAGCTCAAGCTCTATCGAGATGGAATCAGGAACATGCTGGGAAGGGAAGTGGTAGTTATTAAATAGTCTGTGCAGGGGATAAAGGAGACCTGAACCAAGGCATAGAGAAGGGAAACAGATTGGAGAATCATTTTGTGCTTAAAAGGAAAAAAGAAGTCCCAAGTTTCTAGTTCAGTAGGTAAGTAGATTTGGAATAGGAAGTGGAAATACAGTGTTTTAAATCTTTGAAGTATTTATTGTAGTGTTTTTGTGAGCAGAAGTTAAGTTGGGTACTTATATGCAGATAGTAATAGTTAATCACAAAGAGAATAGGAGGGACCAAAAGGTTGTTCCTCAATATCCCACCCACCTTAAAGTTTGGCAGAGGTAGAATTTCTAAAAAAAGAATAGTCAAAGTCAGGCAGTAAACCATGTAAAAGTATCAACTCCGAGCAAGGATTTCAACATGACACTGGTTAGCAGTGTCAAAAAGCAGCTTGGTGAGGAGAGATACCACCCTCCATATATTGGTGGGGGGGGGCGGGGGGGATGGCAGAGATACAGAGACAATGAGTGAAGATTGCTGTTTCAGGAAACTTATTGGTTGGGAATTCCTTGGTGGTCCAGTGGTTAGGACTCGGTGGTTTCACTGCAATGGCCGGTTTCAGTCCCTGGTCAGGGAACTAAGATCCTGCAAGCCATGCAGCAGGGCCAAAAAAAAAAAAAACAGGAATTTTATGTGTGTGTCTATATAGGTATTACCTAAAATTTTTTATTAGAGATTTTTGTTGTATTAGAGGATATGTTCTTACACCTAAATCTAGATTTTTTTTTTTTCCACATTCACAAAAGGGTGGTATGCCGACCTTTACTGGAATTCAGCCATTAGAGCATCTAATTCATTAGGGGATTTCTAAGAATCTAGTTAGTTAATGCAGCACAGAACTTCACTCAATTGTGAATACTGGCCAAGTGTGACAAGAAAAGTGTTCTTAATGCCTGAGGTACAAATGGATACCAAAAAAACTTCTGAAAGGCCATTTATAGTTCTACCCTCCATAAAATAGCAGTGCTGGTTTTAATTTCCATAGGTTTGTATATGTACATACTTTGTGTCAATAATAGGTTAATTGAACAACTCTTGCCTGTTTTCAGATGCCCAGACCTGGAGGATCCCCAGGATCTTCTCGTGGTTACAGCGGGAAGGACACCTCTCTGAAGAAGAGATGGCCAGAACATTTAACTGTGGGATTGGGGCTGCCCTTGTGGTATCAAAGGATCTGACACAGCAGATTCTGCAGGATATTCAGCAGCACAAGGAAGAAGCCTGGGTGATCGGCAGAGTGGTTGCATGTCCTGAAGGTAACTGTTCCTTATTTAGTTGCTCTATTTCAAGCCATTGATATGGCAACTACCTTTACGCAGCTGTAACATGAAAACACCCATGCCAGTAATACCATGCATCTCTTCATTTCTGCCTCAGGGCTCTGACATCTCTGTGTAGCAGTCACATATGCACAACTACACCCTGCAGGACAACCCTTGACCACGGGGTGAGAACTAGTGAATAAATGCCCACTTTAGGGACAGAAGAAGGGAGCGATTCTGAGGCACAGTCTACATGGCTCCTTTGAGGGTCTCAGTGGAATCAAGCCCCAATTGCCCACAGTGGTGACCAGTTTAATAACACAGTCTTATATTGGCTCTTGCCCATCCTCATTCTGGCTCCCTAGGATCACTTCCCAAAGTAATCACCTCGCACGTAAGACCTTGTCTCAGGCTCTGCTTTGTGGTTCAGCTCAATTCAAGGAGTAGTGAGCAAGCACCCTGACCAGTACTGTGTATGACTCACAACTCTGTTAGAAGTACTAGAAATTGGCAGAGTGACAGAAAACCAACTCACATTTTCTAACAGAGATGTCAAGGCTTGTTAATTTTGTCTGTATCTGCCTTTCATCCCTTTATTGTGTGGCTTTCACTTTCAGGCAGGCTCTCCAAATACCGGAAAGATGTCTTGAGCCCACATCCTTCAACTCACATTGCAGTAAGAGAGGCCCTCTCTTTCTCAACATCCTATATCAAGTCTTTGACCAGCCTTGCTTGGGTCACATGCCTACCCTTGAAGCCAAGAGGTCATAGCACTATTGTGGATGCAAGACTTGCGGGAAAGGGGAGACAGAACACTGGCAGGCAGTAACATATCCACTTTATGTTTAGATATAGTGCTGTACCTTTTAGTTGAAGTGGGCAGTTATATATGTTCACCATCAGGAAGTTTGTGTGAATGAGTGACGATAAGTAAAGCAAACGTATTATTTTAGTCCTTGCATATCTTATTTTCAGAATAAAATACAGTACTCTAAAGTTTTTATAGAACACTTCTCTTTCCATATTACTGTTAATTCACAGTTCTTTTTTTATTTATTGGGTGTGTTTGAAACAAAGGTTCTCCTCGTGTGAAAGTCAAGCATCTGATTGAAACCATGCAAATAAATGGATCAGTATTGGAGAATGGCACCCTGAAAAATCATTTCTCTGTTCAACCAAAAAAGGCAAGAGTAGCTGTCTTAATATCTGGGACAGGTGAGATGTGGCTTCCTCTTTACTATAGAGCAGTAGAAATGCTCTTCCTTTTCTCCCACCCACACCCACCCCCCCCCAAAAAAAAACCCTCCTTCCGACTGTGAGAACACTCTCAGTACTGGGGCTAGGTATCATTAAGGAGTGTTATCTTTTCTACATCCTCAGTCTTTCCACTTTTCTGAGGCATTTGAAGCGGCTTCTAAAGGAAAAGTAGAGGGTGTTGGGAAGATGGTTGAAGAGAGAGAAGCTAGAAAAGACAGAATGGAAATTCCAACTTCTTTTGAATCATAGCTTTGTAGTTGAAAAGTCTTAGGACAGTTGAGGCTTTTTTAAATTGTTAATAGTAACAGTACAAAATTTGTGTTTGACTCTGTGGACAGCGGGGTAAAGTCCTAAGAGCACTGTATTCTCTCATATGGATGGATATAGTATGATTCTTTTTTCCTTTTATTTTTTATTTTTTTTATTTGCACCATGCCATGCAGCTTGTGGGATCTTAGTTCCCTGACCAAGGATTGAACCCAGGCCCTCAGCAGTGAGAGCAGAGTCCTAACCACTGGATGGCCAGGGAATTCCATCCACTGTTTTAAGTAACATTGCTATGAACATTCTTTTAAATATACAATAAGTTTGTAAGTGCATATCTGGTTATTTCTTTAGGTTAACTTTCCCCGAAGTATAATTGCTTTACAAGTCTATTTTAAGGTTTCAATATACTTTAGACCCAAGTTGATGGTAAAGCAAAGAAACTACCGTAAGGGTCATAGTGGTTTATTCTTCTTCAGAGGGTTAATTTTTTTGCTTAATTAAGCAGCTTATTCCTCATCAATCAGTTTTAAAATCATGTTATACTGTTTCTACTGCTATGCTAAATCATATTATTTTGCAGGAGCAATTATTTTGCAGGAGCAATCCTTGAACCAGGAGTGCCTATGTTTTTGTAAGATACTAATCCATTATTCTAAGAGGAACGGAATTTTAAAGCCTCACATATTTTGCCAATCTTTTCTAAGACATTTTTATTCAAAAATCTTGACCATTCCCTATTCAAAATGGTATAAACGTTTTAAAGAAGCGTGCACTCACCTGTGCTTTTCTCCCTTTTTCAGGATCAAACCTCCAAGCTCTCATAGACAGTACTAGGGAGCCAAGTAGCTCTGCACACATTGTTGTTGTGATCTCCAACAAAGCTGCAGTGTCTGGCTTAGATAAAGCAGAAAGAGCCGGAATTCCCACCAGAGTAAGTTACTTTGAAAAGTATCTTTCAAGATTATTTAAACTCATAATCTGCCCCCAAGTGTTCTTTGGATGCCTGGATTTGGGGTGGGTGCTGGGCTTGCCTTTATATTCATTCTGTCCATTCCTTAATTCTTGACATCACGTGTATCTTCAGAAGGAGGTTAAGTATAGTCTATGTAAAGGTTGAGTTTTAAATTATTTTTGGTAATTTGTTGGAAATGGATTGTACTTATCTTTTTCTATTCTAGGTAATTAATCATAAATTATATAAAAATCGTATAGCATTTGACACTACAGTAGACCAAGTCCTTGAAGAGTTCTCCACAGACATAGTCTGTCTTGCAGGATTCATGAGAATTTTATCTGGCCCCTTTGTCAGAAAATGGAATGGTAAGCAAAAATAGTTTGATACTACATTGAGGAATTGACTGAAAATGGGCTATAGGGTGGTTAACTTGCCAAACAATCCCAGTCATGGTATTTACTGTGACCGTTTATTTTGACACACGTCATAACTGAATTTCCTTTGCCTTTAGCCCAAAGAATAATGATTTATTATCCTGCTGTCTCTATCAGTTTTCCTTGGCCTGCTATAATTACAGTTTCTAATGTAGCTTAGGTTGGTTTCACATTACTGCAAACATATTATTTCATCTTCTGGATAAATATTGGGAAGAGACTTTTTTTACTTGTTTAGAAGCAAGAGAAGGTGACTCTCTGTATCCCAAAATAGAGTTCCTCTTCTGAGGAACTGTGAACCATTGCCAGAAGATGGAAAGGAAGGCACTGTTGCCAGATAACATAGTGTCTGCTGTTAATGCCTTTCCCACAGAAGTTTTGACTGCTTCCTGTGGTTCTATTTTGTGCACATATTTGGTCAATAAATGTATTTCCTCTTCGGAGAGTTTGTGTTCTTAAGTGAATATAGTTAGAGCACTTGTGGTGTAATATACCACAGGCAATGCTTTTGGTGACATAAGGCACACAGACTGACTAATCTGGCATCTGTGGATTAGTCACATGTGAACATGCCACTTCATGGTTAGAAGTCAAGCACGTAGACACTACGCAGGAACCTCCTGTCTTTCTAATATTATGTGCCAGGGACAAGCTGAATTTTCTTCAAGAGCCCTATGATCCAGATTAGAACCCCTCCCTTCCAGCTTTGAGTCAGTGCAGGCACCTGTTCAGAAGCCCCTTGGTGTGTCTTCAGCTGTGCAACGCAGAAACCTGCTGCTCCCGGGGCCTCCTTGGATGAGAACGTGTATTTCACTCTTCCTCATTTCTTTTGACAAAGAAAACACCCATCCTAGAAAAACCTTGTTCCTATTGACTCCTGATTCTAGACAGGAAAGTGTATGTTCCTTTGACAGAATACATAGGGTTTTTAAATTCTGACCACTATGTTTTAATTAATTTCCAGGGAAAATGCTCAACATCCACCCATCCTTGCTCCCTTCGTTTAAGGGTTCAAATGCCCATGAACAAGTCCTGGATGCCGGGGTCACCGTCACTGGGTGCACCGTGCACTTTGTAGCTGTGAGCATGTCTCTTTCTACCAAAATCTTACTAGTATTTAATGTAAATTGTACTTGGCAGAAGTAATGTTCAAAACTTTCTCACTTTTCTTTTCCAGGAAGATGTAGATGCTGGACAAATTATTTTACAAGAAGCTGTTCCGGTGAAGAGGGGTGACACTGTTGAAACTCTATCTGAAAGAGTAAAATTAGCAGAACACAAAATATTTCCCTCAGCCCTCCAGCTGGTGGCCCGTGGAACTGTACGGCTTGGAGAAAATGGCAAAATCTGTTGGGTCAAAGAGGAATGAAGCATCCTAATCCAAGAATGGAGCCAGCTTTGAAAGAATTCTAGCTGCTTGCGGGGTGACTTTTATCGTGGACTCAGCCTGAAAGGCATCTAAGACATGTGTATTGCTTCCAGTGGTCGTTCAGGTTTTACCTGTTTGGGGCCTTTTTGTTCATCATCAAAACAGGCATTCAGAATTCCTTTTACTTTCAGCCAAATAAGATACCAAAACTTAATCTTTCTTATATATTCTTTTTCGAAGAGCTAATAAGTCTAATAAGTTAATATCTCTTCCGCATATTGTATATCTGTACTGATTTGAATTGAGACTTCTCTAATTATTCTGATCCTAAGTTGGTGTCATAAAATTTTGAGGTAGCTCCCATTTCTGAGGGATAGTGTTCTTTATACTTGGAAATATCATTACACATTCCTATAATAGTTGACAATTTTTGTAATACCCAGATTTCAGCTTCACAGTTTGGGAGGATGGAAGGCAATCTACTCAGACTAGTAAAGAATATAATGGGACTGCATGACTTCCCACTCTAGCCAGTCATTTCTAATGTGGATATGCAGTTCTGGAACCGAGAGGTCTAGGTTGACATACTGGGCCACATGTGCATGACCCTACACATAGGACCACATTTCTGTCGTAGCTGAGCAAACAGGGAATGGCCACCTGGCCCATAGGCAGCCAGCCAGCCTTAGACTGCTGAGCCACCTTCAGGGTGGCCTGAGAGCTCTGCCTGCCCAACACAGGGGCACCTTACTGGAAGGGTACCTCGAAGCCCCGTTCAAGTCCTCCCTTGGAGTTTAAACTCGAAACTTAACGGCACAGGACTCTTACAGTAGTTATATACAGAAGAGAGTAAACTCTCGCCTTAATACAGGAAAGAGGGTCAAGAGAAGCAGAGTGCCAGAAAAAAGGACAGACACCTTTGCCAAGAGACCCTCATCACTGCCTCTGGTGCAAGTCAGTTTCCCCAGGCAGCTGGCCAACATTACCCTACCTCTCCTTGACTGTAGTCAGCAACTGCCATCAAATGATGTCCAGGTACATCATTTTACATAGGTGTCTTTGCTGCAAAAACAATTGACTCATTTTTTTCTAGAGAGCTCACTCAACATAATAAGCACGTATTATGTATATGCCAAACTATCCTATGAAGTTTTTAGAAAGTTAGAAGATATAAAGGAAAATGTTACTGGTTGATAAAATCATATACTGTAATAAAAGTAGAAGCTGGTAAATTAGAAAAATCAATAAGAGTTTATGACTTCAGAAATACAATTTTCCAGCCCTTATTTAGACACTAATATCCACTGAAAGGAACCTGGACACCATGGAAGGTAGCTGATTCAATATCTTCAGATAGGAAGAATCAAAGTGTGTCTGAAATATGTGGTTGACAGAAACCAAAAAAAAAAAGTTGAAAGTAGCAGGGATGATACTGAAAGGACAGAGGAGTCAGCTGAAAGGGTGTCCTACTGTCTAGTTTGTGATAATATTATTTGGACATGTTGAGTGTGTGAGCAGCTGTTGGTTTATAATGATACTCAAAAGGTCATTTAAGTTATAAAAAAGGCAATGCAAAGATGTTAGTCTTTTATTAATGTAATAAATATGGATATTTGTCTTTTATTATAGATGTCTCTGTTTCTATTTGTGTAAGCAGGAGTAAAACAAATGAGCCCCTACATCGTGTTCAGGTAGAAAGATACGGGGTGGATAGGGGAAAGAGGGTTCAACTGTTAATCAGTTCTGCTGGTTACACACAACAATCATAAAGGATTCAAATGTGAGTTCTAAAATGATGGTAAGCCAAATATTCTAAAGAGGAATGTTATAATAATTTCCAAGAGATTTTAGTCTCTAAATGTTCCTTCTTAAATTTTTTACCATTTTTAACTACTGTACATAAACTTTAAAAATAACTCAAGTACAGAGAATTCCCTGGCAGTCCTGTAGTTAGAACTTGGCACTTTCACTGCCAAGGACCCAGGTTCAATCCCTGATTGGGGAACTAAGATCCCACAACCCACGTGGCACAGCCAAAAATAAATAAATAAAGTACAATATGGTATTCAATTATAATAAAGTTTGACGGGTACAGCTAGTCCCTCCTCATTACTTATTTTCAGAATTTTCTTGGCTGTTCTCCCATGCTAAGCAGCCAGAACCACAGCCAAAATCACGCCCAGGAAGAGACTGGCAAGGACATTGCTGCCATGGCCACATCAGGCTCCTTCAGCCCTGCTTCAGTGAGCATTCAATTTGTAGCTGCTCCCGCAATCGAAATGCACTCAGAATGCCTCTATCTCTGGGAGGTCTCTCACCCTGCTCTCATGGCCAGGGGTCAAAGAAAACAGGAAAATGGTCTTTGGGCTGTCATGAGAAAAACTGCCTCTCACACAATGGTGGATGCCCCAGACAACAAGGGATTCCCAGCAGCCCCCATTTGACAAAGGTCCAGCTCCACAGGTCACCGGATAGATGCAGCTGCAAGTAGTTCAGGAAGATTAATAAAATTCCAGTTGTTTGTTTTTTCTTTTTAAGTCCACGTTCTGCTGACAGTTCCTCCTGGCTTCTTTATCTTGCTGAACTGCTTTTTACCAATTATCTAATACATAAATTTTACCTCTTCCATCACTATTCTCTTTTAGACAGTCTTATAGCCATTCTTTCTCAAGCCATGTAAAGCTTACATTAACCACAACACAAGGCCGTAAGTAGAAATAATCCAAATGTCTGCCAGCTAATGAATTGAAAAATAAAATGTAGACTATCCATACAATGAAATATTACTCTGCCATAAAAAGGAAAGAGATACTGATACACCCTACAACATGGACCAACCTTACAACATTATGCTAAGTGAAAGAAGCCAGTCACATGACTACACGTTTAGGATTCCATTTATATGGAATGTCCAGAATAAGCAAATCCTGACAGACCAAGTAGATTAATACTTGCCCAGGTCTGTGGGGACAGAGGTATTTGGAGATGATGACTAAAGGATGCAATGTTTCTTTGGGGGTAACAAGAATATAATAAAATCGATGGTGTGATAGTTGCAGCACCCCGTGAACACACCTAAGCCATTGAATTGTACTCTTTACTTTTTTTATTATTTTTATTTTTTTATTTATTTACTTTTTTTGTGGTACGTGGGCTTCTCACTGTTGTGGCCTCTCCCGTTGCGGAGCACAGGCTCCGGACGCGCAGGCTCAGCGGCTATGGCTCATGGGTCCAGCCGCTCCGCGGCATGTGGGATCCTCCCAGACCAGGGCACGAACCCGCGCCCCCTGCATCAGCAGGTGGACTCTCAACCACTGCGCCACCAGGGAAGCCCTGAATTGTACTCTAAATGGGTGAATTCTGTGGCATATGAATTATATTCAATAAAACTGTTCCCCATAAAAGAGAAATACAACTCCTTCTCCGTTACCGTAGAAAGATTAATTCATAGTTTTTGAAACACATCAAGATTACATGTAATCTTATGTCATACAACGCATCAAGCTTACATTTAAAATACTTCACGTTCAGCATGAAGTCACTTAAATGAATACAGAGAGGACTTCCACACTTTGTCATGGAAACTGATGCCAAAAGCTCAGCCTCTGTGCACTGCTGTCAAATCAGATCTTGGAGAGAGTTTTGGGTGAAATAGAAAAGGATAGCTTTATTGCTTTGCCAGGCAAAGGGGGACAGAACAGGCCACTGTCTCTCGAAAAATGTGTCCCAACCCAGGAAGATTTGATGAGGAGTTTTATGACAATACTCCAAGGGTGGGGTTAAATGAGGGTGTGAGCAGGGTCTCAGGTGTGGGTCTCTTAATCTGGATGAGCTTCTCTGGTCCCTTTAATCTCACCGCAGGTGGTTTCTTGGCTGCTCCTCCCCTCCCTTGATGAGCAACTGTACGAATCTGCCCTTTGGAACTCAGGGAAGGTCATGGAGGCTGGAGTCTGGTCTACAAGGAAAGGGGGACAAAAAGAGGACTCCATGCCCGGGAGCCCCACAGTCACCCCACCCCCCCGTCCTGGTTTCCAAACCATACTAAAGACTATCCATCAGCCTAGCAATCCTAATCCTCAAAGCCTCCATCTGTTAACCTGGTAGTTCCCTGGGTAAACTTATTAAAAATGCTAACTCCTGAGCCTCATCTGTATTCTGAGCATTGCAATAAAGCACTGCATGAAGATTTTAATATTCCAAATCGATTTCATTTTTTTAAGTTTCATGAATTGAAATATTTGTGGACAATGAAAGTCAAATTGCATTTTAAATTTTTCTGCACCACTAACCTCCAAAAATTTATAGGAAAAAAGGGTTTGGGGGACTTCCCTGGTGGTGCAGTGGTTAAGAATCCGCCTGCCAATGCAGGGGACACGGGTTCCATCCCTAGTCCGGGAAGATCCCACACACCACGGAGCAGCTAAGCCCGGGCGCCACAACTACTGAGCCCGTGCACTGCAACTACTGAAGCCCACGTGCTCTAGGGCCAGCTCTGCAACAAGATAAGCCACCGCAATGAGAAGCCCGCGCACCTCAATGAAGAGAAGCCCCACTCGCCGCAACTAGAGAAAAGCCCGCGTGCAACAACGAGACCCAACGCAGCCAAAAAAAAAAAGTTTTGTGTAGCAGTATCACTCAATTCCTTGACTGCTTCTGTTACAAGCAAAACCAAAATGAAACAAGATCTATCATTTAAAAATCATGTTTAATTAAATATTCAGCTAAGGGACTTCCCTGATGGTCCAGTGTTAAGACTCTATGCTCCCAATGCAGGGGGCATGGGTTCGATCCCTGGTCTGGGAACTAAGATCCCACATGGAAAAAAAAAAAAAAAATCAGCTGACAAAGCTATTAGGTTGTGCTGAAAGCCAAGCACTGGAAAACTTCCAGTTTTGTAAAGAATTTATTTCTTATTCTCTACAAATAAGAGAATAATCTTATTCTCACAGCAAATCAGCCTTTTCAACTGTGCCTCCGTTTGGTACCCTGAGGGTGTTTACAGCATCCTGTAAGATTCAGGATAAGTGCTAGGTGTGCAAAATAAGGGAAGAATAAAGTTCAAAGGGGAGCGGGCAGCAGCAGCCC